ACTTCTACCAGATATACCGTACTTTCCAGTCTATGGTCACTACACAGTTTGGGTCTACTATTAAATTATTGCGATCTGACTTGGGCGGGGAATACTTTAAAACTGAATTCTGTGAATATTTGGCCAAATTGGGTACCATTCACCAAACTTCTTGTACTGATACACCTACCCAAAATGATTGAGCCGAGCGTAAACACCGTCACCTACTTGAGATAGCTAGATCTCTCATTCTCTCTGCCTCTGTTCCGACTCCGTTTTGGGGTGAGACAGTTCTTACTGCTGCTTTTCTTCTCAACCGTATGCCTACCCCCCTTCTTTCTGGTTGGTCTTCTTATGAGGCTCTGTTTTCTCAACTTCCTGATTACTCTCTCCTTCGTGTGTTTGGGTCTGCTTGTTTTGTCCTTTTACCCCATAAAGATATGACCAAACTTAGTGTCCGGTCTGTCTTATGTGTTTTTTTGGGTTATAGGCTCACTCAGAAAGGTTATCACTATTATGACCCTGTTTCCCGTCATCTTTATGTCTCCCGCCATATTGCTTTTCTCGAACGTCTACCTTACTTTCAGCTTCCTCCTCTCACCACCCCAGTTTCCAAAAAGGATTTGGTTCATATTGATCTGTTTCCTTCTGAGGTCCCGTCTAACGAGTACATTTCCACAGTTTTCCTTGAGCTTGTTCCATCTTCTCCTCCTGTTTCACTTCTGGCTACTTCTCCTTCGATTTCTTCTCCTCCTCTGCTGTTAGTTTATTCTCGTCGCAAGGCTCCTCCTCCACCGGTTGTCTCTACCCCTACTGCTGATCCTCCTGCTTCTGACAACTCTAATCCTGCTGCACACCGATATCCTGCTCGAGCGCGTCATCCTCCAAACAGGTTGGGTTGGTCTAATACATGTTTTTTTGTTTCCTATCGTACTTTTTTGTCTACTATTCACTCTTTTTCAGAATCTCAGTCTTACAAGGAGGCCTGTCAGGATCCTCATTGGGTTTAAACTATGGAGGATGAGTTGTCTGCTTTACAAAAAACTAGTACTTGAGAGTTGGTTCATTTGCATGCTGGTAAGAATCTGGTTGGTTGCAAATAGGTCTACAAAGTCAAGACTCATTCTGATAGTTCTCTTGAGCGCTACAAAGCTCGTCTGGTTGCCCAGAGTTTTTCACAGGAGTATGGCATTGATTATGAGGAGACCTTTGCCCCTGTTGCCAAGATGACTATTGTCTGTACTTTGATATCTGTCGCAACTGTTTGCCATTGGCCTCTTTATCAAATGGATGTTAAGAATGCTTTTCTTAATGGTCATCTCGCTAAGGACGTTTACATGCGTCCTCCCCCTGGCCTTCACCCTTCCTCTGGACAGGCTTGTCGTCTTCGGCGTGCTCTGTATGGTTTGAAGCAATCTCCTCGTGCTTGGTATGATCGCTTTCAGACTGCTATTACTGAGTTTAGGTTTCATCCTTCTACTTCCTACTCTACTTTGTTTCTGAGACGTACCCTGGTTGGTTTTGTTGATCTCTTACTCTTTATGGATGATATGATCATCACTGGCACTGGCTCTGACTCTTCTGCTATCTCTGAGGTCAAGCAGCATCTCTTCCGCAGCTTCAAAATGAAAGACCTGAGTCCCTTGCTGTATTTTCTTGGTATTGAGGTTGCTTCTTCTCCAAAGGCCTATTTTCTGTCTCAAGCTAAGTATGCTAATGAGGTCACTCACCGTGCTAGTCTTACTGATACTAAGATTTATGATACACCTATGGAGCTTAATGAAAAGCTCAACTCTACTGATAGTGTCTCTCTGGATAACCCCACTTTATATCGCGAGCTTGTGGGTTGTTTAATTTATCTGACGGATACTCATCCCGATCTTGCCTATGTTGTTCATGTGGTTAGCCAGTTTGGTTTTGCTCCTCGCTCCACACATTGGGCTACATTGGTTCGAATTCTTCACTATCTCTAAGGTACTGTATTTCAGGGTTTACTATTGTCCTCCACTTCCTCTCTAGATTTGGTGACCTATGCTGATTCTGATTGTGATTGGGCTGGTGATGTTATTGATCGTAAGTCCACGTCTGGTTTCTGTATGTTTTTTGGCGATTCCTTGATCTCTTGAAAAAGTAAGAAACAAACTGTTGTTGCTCGCTCTACTGCCGAAACTGAGTATCGTACTATGGCTCATGCTACTACTAAGATTGTTTGGCTTCGTTGTCTTCTATCTGATTTGGGTATCCCTCAGTCTTCTACGACCTCTCTCTATTGCGACAACCACAGTGCTATTCAGATTGCCCATAACACTATCTTTCATGAGCAGACGAAGCATATTGAGATTGATTGTCACTTTGTCCGTTAGCATCTGCAGTCTGGCTCTATTTCACTTCATTTCGTCTCTTCGACTCTGCAATTTGCTGATTTCTTCACCAAGACTCACACCACTGCTCGGTTTCAATTTCTTCTTGGCAAACTCTCAGTGTTTTTTGCTAAAACACCTTGAGTTTAAGCAGGGGTGTGAGAATATATTAGGGATTTTATGTATATATAGTAGTATATATATTTTGTATATTGAAATAAGTCATATTTCCTTTTTTGTTCTGGGGTTAGATTGTTATATAAATCAATGTATTCTTGTATTACTATAACAAGTTGAATATACAGATCATTCCGAAAAACTTACACTAAGAGCATTCAGAAACCCTTGCTTTATCAATCACATACAAGAACCTTGAATGTTCTTCTGAATCTATGGTACACTTTCCTGGATTAATTCCATTTTGCCAAAAAAAGGACACATGCTCGCACACACTGCAGCCATATTTTGGCCAATAGGAATTGGAGCCATGCAAGCAGAGAACAATTTCTACCACGGATAATGCAATATCAGCAAGAATTTTCTAAAGGTTTCATGAAGAGTGTGGAGGTCGAACAAAGTTCATGAAGACGTTAAGAACAAAAGTTAACCAAACTGGGCTATTAGTCCTTTAGTTATTTATTTTTCTTTGTCTGAATTAAACTCTTAATAGTAGTGGATTGTGAGGAAGAGTGTGCTCCTGATTTTTCTTGGAGAGATTATGTTCCCAAGGTTTTCAATCCAAATCATTGTCTTCTATACTTCACTACAATTTGTTAGTGCTAGGACTAGCATAGGTTGCCAATTTCATGACTATGTATTGTGCACCTTAGCCACTACCTCTTTGGAGAGCACATTGAACAAGTCTTGAAGCCTTGGAAGCATAGATGCTATAGGAGCTCTTCATCAGCATAGAATATTCTATAGGAGAGCTTCATCAGTGTCGAAATTGCTTTGGATAAGGATAGAACCAAGAAGACCTTGAATAGTGGACAAAGTTATTCATTTGGTCATCCTAGTCAACCACATGTCTTAGGTCATTGGAAACTAGCCAAGTAGGTTGGTTGACCAGGTTGAAACCAATTTCTTAGGTTGTCAGTTACAACAACCCACATATGGGCCGTCCATGCAGAAGCATGGGTCAACCCATTAAGGAGTTCAAAGCATACGGCTATGGGCCAATCCACAACACAACAACTTCTCTAATTAAGCTCCATGTATCTCTGGGCCGCCCATAGCACAAAGTGAGCCAGCCCATGAATGTGAAGTTTGGAAAAACTAATCGTCTTTTGGAGCACTATATAAATGCCAAGGCTCCTCCACTTGGTATTCTTTGATGAGAATTAACTTTTAAGGTGTTTGTACATTTCTTATACACCCTAGATCACATCTCATAAAAAATTTTACCTTGTGTGAGTGTGAGTTTGGAAAACCTTCTTTGCACCTTGGTGTTCGAGAGCTTGTTTCTTTGAAAGTCTTGGGAGTTCTCTTGGGAGGTATAAATTCTCATTCTAGTATTATAATTCTCAGGTAGTATATACTATAGTCTTCACACAACTTCACTTTGTGTCTCACATAAAAATTTTGTGAAAGTAATCAATAAACTTCCTTTTTGCTAAGTGTGTTTTTTGTTGTTGTGTATGTAAATGGTTTGAGGTTGATTCAAAAAACCTAATTTATGTTTTTTTTATTTTCTTATTGTAAATGTTTTGGGTTGTCCTAGGAAAAACTTATAGTTACAAAGGTTTTGTGTGAACCTAGGGAAAACTCATTTAAGATTAATAAAGTCAATACTGGCAAGGTAAGCTGGGAGTAGATGTAGGCACAAGGGATGTACTAAACCACTATAAATCCTTGCGATCATTTTCTTTACATTCCATACACTTCATATATTTTTTATGATTATGTGAGATAATTAAGTGATGAATTGAGTTGATTCTAATATTGTACTTGATTGGATCATCTTTAGATGAGAATCAACATTCAAGCAAGAATTATACTTTTTGAAATACATAAACATTAACATTACCAAGATTTAGTAAGTTGACTTCGTGTGAGTAAGTCTAAAAAAACCATAAGGAATCAACCGTGGTTGATTTTGGACAGTCATTGGTCAACCAGGACTGTTAACTGAGCTGGTCAACTAGAACACAGGGAAGACTGACTGTCTTGCAATTTAAAGAGCATGTTTAGGGCATCATAGAGTGAAGTTTAGAATAATTTTTGAATATTTATTTGTGTTTATTTTAATATAGTCAAATTATGTTATTGAGTCTTCCATGGAGTCTTCATTAGGTCTAGAATTTTATAGTTGAACAAAATTCCAGAATTTCTGATTATGGGATGAGAAATGCTATATGTCACCGGTGCTTCCTATGTGTCTAAACAATGGACACATGTGTCTCCCAAGTGTCCAAGATTAAAAAATAATAGCACACACATGGATCTGTGAACACGTCACCTTCTTAGAAGTGTTTGTGTTTCTTAGGTATTAATAAAGCAACTCAGTAAAACCCTAGCCACACACACAAAGTTACACGTACAAGCAAAGCATGATGAAAGCCAAGGAGATAAAAAAGAAAAGAAAAAATGTATAACAGAAAAAAAGAGAAGAAGAGAGAAGAGACTATGTATGCATTAATTTATCGGCTGATAAATGCACACCTTGGTGAAGACGTACAGGTTGGGTTTGAGATGCCAGCAAACACATTCGAGTAGGACTTGGTTAAATATGAAAAGTTCGCAATCGGAGGTAGAGCAGGCACCCGTTCACCCTTCTTCAAAAGCTCTGGCAAATTAAGCCTCTGCAAGGTCAAAACAGCCCTGGACTCCTTCCATATGAAGGCAAGCAATCCACCTTGAATCACAAATAGTGAACCAGGCTTTGAGCCTGGATATCGAAAACCATATCCATTTGCAATACCTTCCCCAGCAAATGTATGATTAACATCAACAGGAAGAGAATCTCCATTAGTAGCCCAAGGGAAAGGCTCGAGCGAAGGCTCATTAATATTCACTATAAACATTGCTGACCCATTTGGATGCAGAACATAGTGGGTTCCTTCCAATATTTTAGTTGCAATCAGATATTGTTGCCCTTGGGATTCTTCGTAAGAGAGCAAAAGAAAGAACAGAGCCTTTCCAGGTTTGTCCTCAGTAGGCCTCCCCGGAGGCCATCCAAAAGTCCCTCCCCATAGACCAGCAAATTCGTCCTCAGCCTTGGGGGGCTGCACAGGCAACTTGTAAAGAGCAAATCGACTATCGTGCATATTTGGCCATGCTCTATAAGAAGATAATTTCACATATGAGGCATTTAAAGTCAACCCTATTGTTTCACCTGACCGCAAAAACTCATGAAGCTGGGCATGCTTATTGTCACTACTTGAACAACCATTTTTCCAAATTTCATGGCTCGAATTTGATTTCCCGAGTATATGTTTAAGGCTATCCTTCAAATAACCACCAAGACTTTTCCTTCTGGCGCATTGTGTGCGACCATCATCGCCATTGAGAGAATTACGGAAACCACTTGAACGATCAAGACTCTTCCTGATCTCACTCAATTCCAACTGGGTGGGATCTGGAGCCTGATCTGGACCACCCTTCCAATTACCGTAATCGCCGCCGAGCTTATACATTTGAATAAGCAATGATCTCCGCTCATATAAAAGCGCCATATCTTGTTGAACATTCTCCTCATCACCCCTCAAACGAGGAAATAATAGCCCATTTTCCAAATCAGGAACCTTTAAACGGACTTGGCCAGTAACAATCTCAAGTAGCTTTCTTCTATCACCAAATGCTAATCGGCTGAAGGGAACCACCGATGCATTCTGTCCAAATACTCTTTGTGATTTTGAAATCCCACTATCTGCCCGAGAAATCCTTCTTGATGGCTCCTTATCCAAATGATGAGCAAAGCTTTTACTATAAACTAACTTGCCACCATTTCTTTGTTGCCTTGGCTCAACCTCAAGCAACATCACATTGCAATTCCTATCAACAGACTTGAGTGAACCAGGATAGAAATAGTCATTATCTTTCTCCCTCCCGTGAAGAAAAAATGCAGTGGAACCATCAAAATCAGCGATAATTTCAAAAACCGGCGCCCATAGAATAGGACCATCTTCAATACCTAACGGACCGAGCTCTTGTGGGATGATCCGACACCCAACAACCGAAATAAAACCAGGCATGACATAAACAACATTTCCAAGCTCAGGGTTTTGGTGAACCCAAATTCCAATTAATGGCTGAACGCTGACTAGGAACTGACATAGAGCCTTGTAAGATGCAACCCCTTTTCGCCACTCAACAAGGTCTCGAGACGGAATAACTTCCATCATTTCACATTGGGCGAGCCACATCTTATCAGAGGCTGCAAGAGCATATAGGCTCTTGCAACACAACCCTAGATTACACATGTCTCTCGGAGAGAGGGACTCGGTGACAATGGCGAAAACATCCTCCGGAAGAGCTATAAGCAAGCTCGGCCCACAGTGATCGGACAACATAGCAGTTAAAACTGAATTCTTGATATGGATTTATCAGGAAATGGAAGTGGAGTTACAAATCTCTGTTTCTATATGCATAAAAACATTAAAAAAACCAAATCTGAATCTATAAAACTACAACATAATCCCAAAACTGACGAACATCAAAACATAATGAACACGAAAACATTCAAACCCTCTATACAAACTAGCAATATCAAATCCAACGAATTCTGACCTGGAAATTAAATGGGTTTTTTTTCCAGATTCTCCAATTATTGAATCTTGAAACAAACAAAAAAAAAAAGAAAGGGTCGGTTTCTGAAGTGGGTTCAATTCATTCAGATTCTTCAATTTCTGCATCTATGGCGGAGGACCCAAAATGGATCTGTTTGGGATCCTTAAAATTCTGAGTTCATAGGGTGAAAGAATGACTTGAATAGGTCACAAGTCGTCGCCAAATGAATCAGGAAAGCCATCACAAAGTCATCAGTCTCGTCTAAGAGTAATGATGATGATGAAGAAGAAGAAGGTGATGATGTTGAAGAAAGGAATAATAATTAAAATTCCAAATTAAGCTTTGGAATTATCATTGTATTGTAGTCATTGTGGGGGGTCCTCATGCTCTTGCTCCTGTTCTTGACTGTGGGAGAGAGAGAGAGAGCCAACCAATATTGAAATGAGCTTAAAGTAGAAGCCAACCACCAAAAGTCCAAAAGAACTAGAACCCACCGGCCACCACAACACCCAACAAATACAGATAGAGATATAGATAGAGACATAGTACAAAACATAAAAGCGTCAAATTATTCTTCAATGAACAGTGTTCATTCACCACCCTGGGTGGCCTGGTGGTTTGAGAGTTACCTTTTTCATATTTTTAAGGGGGAGTATTTACTATTCTGATTGTTTATCCTAAGAGTTGAGTAGTCTATTGTTTGTTTTTTTTAGTTCGTCGGATATGACATTTGTCCAGATTCTTTATCCCTTATATGGGGGATTATACTATTCCAGAGGGGTGTGAGACAGTTTTGAAGGGACATTCCACTATTAGGATTAGCTGGTAAAATGATCATTTTGATCATCTACTATTTAATTATGTAGTAACTTGTAAAATTCAATAAAATTTAAATGTCTCAATTTAAAAATAAAATAATTTTATTTAACTTTTTATTGATGTTTTATTTATTTAATTTTTTAGATATTTTATTGATGTTTTATTTTAAAATTTCGTTTATATTTTATTTAATTTCATTATTTAAATTTTAATAGATATTTTATTTAATTTCATTGTTTAATTATTATTATTTTTAAAAACAAATTTATTTAAAATTTTAATTAAAAAATAACATATATTTTTATTGATATTTTATTTATTTTATTTTTAGAAAATAAATTTATTTAATTGTGTAAAAAATAAAATAAAATAAATTTGCATTTAATCTAGATAAAAATAATTAAAAGATTAAAGATATGTTTAATATTGTTATTACTTTAGTAAACAATTGAAAAATGGTAAAATAGTCTTTTGGTCATTTATCCTTTTCAGTTCGTCCAACCAAACGTTGGATTCACTAATCCCATAAAAAAACAAACACAGGATACATATCCAATCCAACCAAATAGTCTAGGGGATTCATAGTCTCAGGTAGGGATGTGCGCGGTGCGGGTCGGTGCGGTTTGAGAGAAAAATAGAAACCGTATGGCGGGTGGCGGATTGATAAAAGTGTCACTAGAATTTCTTATTTTCCTTATCAAAAACTGGCGGTTCAATTGGTAAATAATGGCGGATTTACTTTGGCGGTTCGAGCAGATTGGCGGTTTATAAAAAATATAATTTAAATTACAAAACTTAAATCAAAGAGTAAAAAAAAGACCAAAGATACCGTGATGTTAAGCATCTTGCGAAGCTTTCTTCTGATGCAGCAAGTGTAACAACAACGTGATAATATCAACGACTATGCCATCAGTTCATTACAAGTATCTGTGGAAGCTACAAGATCAAATACAATACATAAAATTAATATCATTCAGGATTTACAATATATTGAAAATGTTTACTGTTGAAAAGTATTTAGATTGAAAAGTGAGCTGATGCAAGTTTGCAACATGGCCAGAAAAAAAAAAGATTGAAAAGTGAATTGGAAGCCAACTTTGTTTTGGATTACTGACATCTTGAATTTCCCTCGAGCAGTAATGTAATACTATATTCTAAGGTATAGAAACAACAAGCAAACTTAAGTAAAAAAGAATTTTTAGAATCTTATAAAACATGATTTAATAGCGGTGCGGTTTGGAAGAAAAATAGAAACCGGCGGATTGATAAAAGTGTCACTAGAATTTGCTATTTTTCTTACCAAAAATCAGCGGTTCGATTGGCAAATAATAACGAATTTGCCTTGGCGGTGCGGTTTTGGCGGTTTCGGCGGTATTATGCACACCCCTAGTCTTAGGACTCAAATCCGATGGATTCTAACCCCCCTTATCCAGTCCGTCCAATCAAACACACCCTTATTGTTTTGGTAGTTTCATTTGAAATATTTACATCCATGGGCCAGGGTGATACATCTTTAATTTTTATCCACATTTTGGTGAAAAATAATCTTTATATAAAAGATCTTATATTATTTTTCTTCTAATTGATTACATTATTGAAATTAATGTAATAATAATTGTTTTAATGGTAACGGGGTGGTAGATACCAAACGGAGATAGAGGTGGCAATGATAATATGATATCATTGATAAAACTTTAATCCGTAAAATATTTTTCATATTTTAAAAGTATAAAATAGGCTTTTTTTTATTAATTTAAACAATATTTTTTGGAAAAATTAGTCTAAGGTCCCTTTCTCATTTTTAGTAATAGAAGATATCCACAATATTATTTTATAATATCTAAGGTCCCTCAATCCTACACCCATATATCACAGAGAAATTGTCCAACTGGTTATCTAACGCCTCGTTGATTTGTTTCCAATCCAACGGAGCACCAACAATCTCCGACTTCAAGGATCCACCACCTCCTTTTCCTCCTCCTCCTCGATCTCTATATATATTTTTGTCTTCAAATTCGAGAATTACAGGGCTGGTTGATCGAAGAGAGCAGCAGAGAGGATTCAGCAAGGAGTGGTAGATTAGGGTTTGATAGAGACAATAGAAATTAGGGTTTCAATCATGGCTTCTTCACTCATCTTATTCTCTCTCATTCTCTTCAACATTCATGGTATGTATGTATGTATGTATAACTCTTCTATTCTCTGCTTCAATTCACTTTCCATAGTTTCCTTAATTTTTGAAATATTTTCCTTCAATTTCTATAGCTGACAGTAACATCACATTCGAAAATGGCTACACAATCAGTACAGCCATCGACGGCCACGGATTCCACATAAACTCTCACTCGATTCTCCCTCAATTTGGATCGTCTGATCTCATCATCCTTGATTCAGCCAACAATGCCTTTTACGTTATCATTTTCCAAATCCAAGGTACCAAGTATATATATATATATATGCGTACGGATTATATGAATGTGTTTGTAAAAGAAAAATGCTTTCAATATTAGCTGTTAATTGTTGTTTAACACAGAGATAAGGGATGAGTACGCAGTCTGGCCAGAGAAAATCACAGGGTGAGTATGTGATTTGGCCAAAGAAAATGAACAAATTTCTCTGACCATCACACAGAGAAAATTAACACGGAAAATTAAATCAGAGAGAATTTTTCTGGTTTGTAAGTAAACACCATTGATGTAAGGCTCTCTCTCTCACTCTCTGGCCCATTGTAATAGTAAATATACAAGTATTCCAAATGGAGCACTGTGAATTGCTTTGTATTTGTAAAGTCCAGTTTCAAAAATTAACAATTTTGTTCAGAGAAATTTTAATTTTATCTGGTTTGATTCCAGAGTAATTCTCTGCACATAATGAGACAATTTTCTCTGGAAATTTATTTGATTTGGAGAGAATTTTTCTGTGAAGTCTAGAGAAAATTCGATCAGAGAAATTCCCTGTGAACTATAATTTCTTTATGAAGTCCAGAGAAATTCTGGAGTGAACCAGAATTTCTCTATAAAATTCAGAGAAAATTTGACCAAGGAAATTCTCTGGATCGATTTTTTTTTGGATTAATTCGAGGGACCTTAGACATTATGAAAATATTAAATGTCATTTATGCTATAAGATCTTAATACCAGAGACCTTAAAAAAAAATCTCCTATTTTTTGTTTACTTTTGTTTTCTTTTGTACCAAACAATAGAAGATGCGAAAAAAATATTTTTATACCCAAATAAACAGAGCATTAATTTAAATTGAATAGCGACTAAAATTCCCTCCAATTCTTTAAATTTTATGTTAAATTGACTTTTATTCATATATATTTACTTAAATTAAGAGACACTCGTTTTATTTACTTAAATTCTAAATCAATTAAAACTTTGACACGTATGTGTTTTTATCCATTTTTTTAAAATTTTATTTGCTCCGACATTTAACATTCACTTAAAATTCAACACTTGACGGTTTTACTCAAATTTAAATTTATATATCGAAGTATTCCATATCAAGTTGAGGTTTTTAGTCAAAAGTAAAAGTTGTGAATAACTTATTATAATGTGATTATGTGAGTTCCAATATCCAGACTCAAGGTGATTAATTATTTTCACTAATTATTTGCCATCATGTTGTTAATGGGTTGAGATAAGGCTATGGTGAAGTTTGTATTGAAATAGTGTCTAATGAATCCTATGTGTGCGATACCTAGTATTGGACTTGTAAGCTCGTCATGTTAGCTCTCCCAATAGTTGTAAATTGTATTGATGCCTAATTAAAAATAAAAAATATATAAACTCATATTTTGTTATTATAAATTCTATTAAAAAAGTAAGTGTGTGGTATAAATCAAAATCAAAATAAAAATCAAATCAAAATCAAAATTTAATTTGTTGTGGCCTATTACTATATTGATATAGTCCATAATACAACCTTTAACTCTTGATGATTTTTTGGACATTTTTTATAACATCGCATTATGGGCAAATTACAATAATGGTCCATCAAGTTTAAAACTTGTGTCATTTTGGTCCCTATCATTTCAAGTGTAGCATGTTTAACTCTAAATTTCATAACTTGTTTTAATTAAGAACAATTAATAACAGAAGTTAGAATTGTGGATGGAAAATAATCATATGCAAGTCACATGATCATTACTTGAGGGTAAAATCGACTATTCACATAGTCTATATGTAATCCAACAGAACCACTCATCTTAATTTTCTTATGCACTCAATCACACCATATCATATCATCTTAATTTTATTATGCACTCGTCTCTCTCTCTCTCCCCCTCTCCCTCTCCCTCCATTCCTCTCTCAAAAATTCCTACCTTTGTCAAACTCACCCCCTCCCCTACACTTCTTCTTCCACAACATCATTTTCATCATCTTATTGTTGTTTGTGGTGTTTGAATACAAAGAATAATTACCTATGTCCATGCCTATATTACGTCAATCTTTGATCTATCTACATTCATAGGCCATTTGACACCGATATACTTTCCGATCCGATTGTGTCAAGGTCGATGATAGGGGGAAAAAAGGAACTGGTTGGATTGAGAGTAGAAAAATTGTGTGTTGATGAATTGATAATTTGTTAAAATTAAGTGGTTTGTTAGAGATGTAACACGTCAATTTTAATTTGTTAAAGATGTAACAATGAATAGTTGTTAAAAATGGA